CACACACACACACACACACACACACACACACACACACACACACACACGTGTGTGCAGCAGCGGTCATATAGAATTTTGACGTGGCAACCCAATTTTCAAAGGGAACCTTTCTTACATGTAAATGCAGCCATGCATCAAAATGAAAGCTGGCTCATTGCTTTTTTCTGGTTTACATATACCGTATATATGGCAGCAGCCATCTTGGATTTTGATCCGGCAACCTAATGTTCAAAAGGAACCTTTCTTACGCGTAGACGCAACACGTCAATAAGGAAGCCAGTACCTCACTAATTTTCAAGTTATCGCGCTCACATTTACAGAGTATTTTAAATACTGGTTTCGCTCCATGACGGGACAAAAATGGATCCTGACTGCTCCTGCAAGCAAGCACAAGGGTGACTCGGGGTTCTTGTTCTTTAATCCATCACTTTCAAACAATAGACATTAAAGAGACGATCATCATTTAAATTTGTTGTGGGCACGTCGTACAAATGTTCATATTTAAAACAGTCTGAGGCAGATAAACTAAAAGATGGAACTGAAAAAACAACTTTGGTGTAAGTCTTTAACACACAGACTCAAATTATGAAGACAACTAAAAAGGAACTACCATACCACACTTGTTTATGTTTATTTACAGTACATATAGTCCTGCTTAATGATCCTGGATCCTGTTTGAAGATGCAAAATAAATCCAACTCTGTAAACAGTCCATCAGGTTATGACTTTTTTTTACCAGCAGATGGAATAAAACCCAAGAAAAACCAGGTGTCAAAGAACAAAAGATCACCAAATCCTGAATGTAAAGCAGAAAAATGTCTTCATCATGACAGTCAGGAGCTTCGTGTGTTTGTGGGACTAGAATAAAAATACAGAGGATAAAATCAGGCAAAGATGGTCTCCTCACGCCTCTTCTTGGTCAGGATGGTACCAGGTTTGTGCTGGGCGTCCGGGTGGTTGGAGAGCTCTGGAGGACACGTGGACACTGGGCTCTCCAGGATGGCCTGCTTCAGGTCATAAAACACGGCCGAGTCCTCTTTAGTGAGGAACGTCATGGCCACGCCGCTCTTACCAGCTCGACCAGTACGACCAATACGATGGATGTAGTCTGCAGGAGGAAATGTTTAATTACTTTTTGTGTTTTGTTTTTATTTTTATAAAAAACATTGACAAAAAGAAGGAAGCGTCTTACCTTCGATGTTCTTTGCCATGTCGTAGTTGATGACCATGGAGACGTCATGGATGTCAATACCTCGACCAGCAACGTCTGTGGCCACCAAGATGTCTTTGGCTCCAGCCTTGAGATTGGAGAGCGCAAACTCTCTCTGCTCCTGGCCTTTGCCACCGTGCAGCGTGCACGCGTTGTACTGAGAAGAGAAGGTGTGAGCGTTAACTTGGCTGTTTAAATCTAATTCTGCCAGTTCAGAACGCAGAGGACAACGTCCAAATCTGCAGGACTCAAGTGTCCTCAAAGGAAGATTTAGAGGATCCATGAAGGATGCTAGAATTTTGTTTTTCAGGACGATTAGTTTTTAATATGTGGGTTTTTTATGCTTTTAACAATTTTACATCATTAAATAAAATGACTGGGGGTTAATGAAGCTCAAACTTCTCAGGTTTTTGTAAAAATGTGGCTAGAAATCAGTAAACATTCTCTGCGTGTGTTTACAAATAAATCTGGTAATCAGTAATTCAGATGATCTCAGCGCAGCTCGTTTGAATCTGAGCTTCCTCTCCCCAGAAATGACTCCACTTCTGTCGACTCGTCCTCACAGCTTTTAGTTTGCAGAAAAAGTGGAAAGAATTTTATCTTTGAGCTTTCGACACGACGTCTCAGACATTTTTGTTCTTCCTCAGACGTTGTTTACAGCCGAGGATTTTTTTTAACGACTCAACATTCGTCACATGCCGACACTGTCTGAAGCGTGGTCGTCAATATTTGAACGGAAACAAAGACTTGTTATTGTTGGCAACAAAATGTTTCTCTGCTGGTAGTGAACGAGTCGTGTTTAGAGGTTATTTTTATCTCATACGCTCATAAAAACCTCATACTTTGACAGCTAATATGGCTTTAAGGTTCAAACATAGAAACATTCAGCTCAACTTTTAAAACTCTGTTCAATTTGCTTTTTGTCCCATAAATCTTACTCTAAACCATAAAACTGTTGTCTTTTGACCTTTAGTTGTGTTCAAACATGTGTGCAGACACGTTGATGACTCGTCCCAAGCAGTTTATGACACTAAACAACTCCTCTTCATGACCACAAACGTAAAACGAAACAATAATTTCCCAGAACAAGAGCTGACAGCGAGCTGCAACACATCGAGGCGAGGCCTGTTAGCATCTTCAGTGTGTTCGAACAAACTGAAGATTACGTTTAAAACTGAGTTTAAACCATTTGTTACTAAGATCAATTAGCTGTGGCGGCCATCTTGAATAGGGTTAACTCCTAAAGATAATCAGTTGTAGAGGTAATCATTGGATGTACGTCTACAACGGATTAACGTTTGAGATTAAGCCTATTCAAGATGGCCGCCACAGCTTATTTATTAGCCATAGCGCCATTAGCTGATTTTTATTTTTGATAAATTGTAACATTTTTGAGACTGGAGTTGTCACTTGTTACTGACAGGTCAAAAGGCGATGATGTTTTTGTTGGTGTGTGTGTGTGTTAGCAAAATATCTGATGAACATCGTCACATTTTGACCTTTCAGTGGCGAGTGACAACTTCGATCTCAAAAATTTTAGTGGTTTATGAAAAGTCAATAATCTAAACCTTTAATTTATTGTCAGTTTTGCACAGATTTTTTTTTAACAAGTTCAAATTGTGGGAGCAGCAGCTAGCGGTAGCACTTCCTGCTGGAACAATATGTCTGCCAGAGTAACTCTGCAACACAAAACTGAACGTTCTGACATAAATGATTTAATAAACAGTGTCTGAATGAGCCGCTGGAAAACATTTAGGTTTAAAGAGGAGAGTAATCCGCTCAGACTAGCCATTAGCTCGTTAATCTGGTCAAAATGGAAACCCGTTTCTTAAACTGAGGTTATTCAAAGCCATCTACAGCAGGTAAGACATTATTTGTTCATAACTTTCCACATAACTCCACTTTAAAAAAGTGTGAACTGCTGCTACTTGAACTTGTAATCTAAAATAATCGTTTCCGATGAGAAACATTTTGTTTTGCTGCCTCGCAGTGAGCTACAAACAGAATACTTGAGCAGCTTACCCCCATCTTCTCCAGAGACTTTGCCAGCACGTCGCAACCCTTCTTCTGGTTGACAAAGATGATGATGGGCGGCTCGAAGCCGTGCGCCAAAACTTCCAGCATCTTCTTCCTGCAGAGCAAAGACAAGTCTCAGCTCGCTGACAGAAAACACATTTTCAGAGAGAGTTGACGCTTGTATCTGTCTCACCTCTTCTCCCCCTCCGACATCAGCAGGACCTTCTGCTCGACTCTCTCGTGAGGTTTTCCAGCCGATCCGATGTACACCACAGCAGGACGCCTCAGGTAGCTCCTGGCCAGCCTCTCCACAGCTGGAGGCATGGTGGCGGTGAACATGACCGTCTGAAAGGTTGGAGGAAACACACCGATGGAGGAGACGTTCACCAGAGGACACCTGGTGTGTCCACAGAGGATCAAACACACGCACACACCTGTCTGTATTTATGCTTCCCAGATTCAAAGTTCATCATCATCTTCTCGGGGTCCTCAGCTTCGTCCGTGTCCGGTTTCTGATTGGTCACTGGGATGTACTCCAAAATCTTCTGGACGTCGGGCTCAAAGCCCATGTCGATCATGCGATCTGCCTCGTCCAGGACTACGTAGGTGCAGCGGCCCAGCACCAAGTACCGGTTCTCCAGCACGTCGATCAGACGACCGGGAGTGGCGATTACAATCTGTTACACACAAAACAACAAAGGGCAATAAAACACAAACACAATCTAAATATCACAGGGAGGTTTTAAAGGCATCTACTGCTCTCTCAGTTCAGACACGTGAATTTGAAGTTAACGTTTCAGTGGGTTCTGTCCTCAGCTGAGACAAACAAACATTAAAGCTGAATGTTTCACCTCGCAGCCCATCCTGAGCCGGAAGCCTTGGTCCTCTCTGGAGATTCCTCCGATCACAGCCACGGTTCGGATGCCGAGAGGTTTACCAAACTTTATGGTCTCCTCTTCAATCTGCTGCGCCAGCTCACGAGTCGGGGCCAAGATCACAGCGTAAGGACCCTGATCCGAGTCTTCGATCCTGCCGGGCGCACAGCAGAAAGATGAAACACACAGAGACCAGAACAACAAACACAAACTGTAGGGTCGTTCGATGGCCGACAGAGGATTATTGACGACAACCTGTCAATTTTTGGCAGAGTGGTGATCCAGACGAGCAGTGGAATCAGGAAAGCAGCCGTTTTACCGCTGCCAGTTTCTGCCACGCCAATGATGTCACGGTTCTGCAAGCCAATGGGAATGGCTTGCCTCTGAATCGGTGTTGGTTCCTGGAAGAAAATTAAAAGCACCCCGATTAAAACCACCACACATCATCAGAGAAACAGATTTTGAAGCTTCAAGCAGTTTTAGGGAAGAGAACTTGAACACAGTTCGACCTTGTAGCCGCATTTGTCGATGACCTCCAGGATGTGAGCAGGAAGAGCATACTCCTTCCAGTTCCTGATGGGGTTCGGGATCTTTCCTCCTTTGGTGGTGATGCTGTAATCCTCTCTGAAGATTCTCCAGTCTCTGTCCGTCATCTCGTCCAACTTCTTCTGAGACCAGTGTCTGTCGTCCCAACGCTGCTTGGCTTCCTTCTTACGCACCTTCTTCAGTCTTGTCCTGTAGAGGAAACACCGATTTGACAGCGGTCGGTGAGTTCCCTTCTTTTTAAAAATAAGTCTCTCTAGTCTGGACAGATGGACTCACTCTTCCTGCTCTTTCTCCTCCAGCGTGCGTCTTTTCTCCATCAGATCGCCGTAGAATCGAGACTGCTCTCGTTTCTGCTGCTTCAGATCGATGCCAGCGATGAAACCGCGTCCGTACAGATGCACCTGGTGCTTCTCTTTATAACTGCAACACAGAGGTTGCACTTTCAGGCGGGAAACCTCAGAAAACCCGATCTGTGAAAGAGTGAGCTACAACTCCACTCACATGGGGTTGTAGTCAACTGACGTGTCTTCAGAAGCATCCCACTCAAAAACAAACTTCCTGTCGTTCAGGTGACGAGTTCGCCTCCGTTTTTTGATGCCACCCAGATAACGCTCCTGTAAACGGGTCCAATTTTTTTAAATACTAGTTGTGAATCTTACATTTCTTAATCATGCTTCCTGCAGCAAGGCTTTGGGCTCCACGTTTAGAGATCAGTTCATTTACGTACAAGACAAATAAATCAGAAACACCAAAAGATGCATTATTTTTGTGACTCTTACAACAAACCTTGATAGCTTGGAGCTCTTTGCCTTTATCCTTCTCCTCTCTGAGCTTTTGTCGTCCGTCATCTTCTTCATTCCCGTTGTTCTCACGCTCAATTCGCTCTCTTCGTTCTCGTCTCTCCCTTTCTTGAGGATCCTCTGCAAACAAAACAGAACCTCTCAGGTGTTAACAGCGTGCATTTAGCACGTGATAACATGAACAAACTGCAGCGTGTCTGAAACCCACCCAGCATTTTCCTCCCGATATCCTGAAACATCCTCCTTTTCTTTCGCTCTTCGTCCATCATCTTCTTCTTCTCCTCCACCTGCTGCTCTCTGCGCTTCAGAGCCTCAGCTTCCCGCTCAGCTTTTGACAGAAATTTGGGCTGAAGATGAGGAGTTAAAAGAAGGAATTGAGGGAAAAAAAAAAAATCATTTAAAACCTTATATTAAAAAATAATAATAATAATTTGCATTAACCATGTCTGACCTTTGCCTCAGCTTCCTCCTCCGCCTTTTTCTTGGCCAGAAGCTCCTCCAGAGACAGTGGCTGGACCTGAGCCACAACCCAACACAACGCACATCAAACACAGTGCCACACTCTCATCATTTTTAAGCAAGTTATTATAATCTGCATTCAGATTTAATAACTTCTTTCTTTGCTCATGTTTAACTCCCCACCAGAACACCTTGATAACAAACAAAAAACAATAAATGTAAGAATCAAATTCATACCTTTTCTTTCTTCTTTTTTTCATCTTCTTCCTCCTCGGTTTTTATATCTTTCTCTTTCTTTATCCTGGTGTCCTTTGACTTTGGTGAGAGGCTTCTGTAAGAAAGAGTGACAAACTAAAGTTCATCTGAGAGCAACAACACATAACAAATAATCAAATTTGATTCAAACGGATTTGCTCCAATGTTTTTGTTTTATCATTTCCTGCATGACTGACGATCAACACCAGCAAAGAACAACATCACATGAGTACCTGGATCTCCTGCGGTCTTTATCCCTCCGGTGGTTGTCTCTGTCCTTGCGGCTCCTCTCCCTGTCTTTGTCTCGGTCTCTGTCCTTGTCTCTGTCTTTCATGCGCCGGTCTCTGCCATTTAATCACAAATTAGAAAGAAAAGTAACTAATTTTAAGCTCAAAATGTTGAAATATTGATGCCATAACAGAAAGGACAACTAAACAGTATGTTGTGGCTGAGTTTTGACTGTGTGGTGGTGAATAACATCAACCTTTCTGTGGATTTGGAGCGGTTTCGTTCACGAGAGCGATGGCGTTTGCGTGACGGGGACCCTTTGCGATCTCGATCCCGTGAACGACTGCGCTTCCTCTCCCGGTCTTTGGTTCCCGAGGATTCTGCATCCTTCCTCTCTAAAGAGTCAGCTGCCATCTGCAAACACAAAACATGTAATGTAGCATGGCTCTAATGACAAATGAATCTAATATTATGCATTCATTAAGTTGTATTAAATCTATTTCAATAATATGCTAAATGTGATATAAAATAATCCTTTATTTTCCTATCTTAAATCATATTATATTGTATATTATTTATAAATAAACACTTTAGACCAGAGCATCCATTTTACAGAACATAAAGCAACTTTAAAGAGAATTAGTACCATTAAATTACACTTTCAAGCCCCTTATACAACTTCTTCTTTTCCTTAAAGTAAAACTTTTAAATTATGGATTGAATAAACAAGAGATTCATTAATTAACAACACATTGTTGCTGTGAATTCGTATTTATTTCCACTTCAAACTAACCTTGATGTTAGATCGAAATATTTAAACTCAAAATGAATCAATGACTGAACTGAATGAGGTTTGATCATAATGTTTTTTTTACAAATTGAACGAGCAACATAGAAAAACACGTGCCTTCTTTTCTGAATTTGATATTTTGCGCCTCCAAGAACAAGTTCAAAACAAAGAAATGGCGATTCTAATTTAGGGTATAAAAACTCTTTGTTTAGGAAGACAGCAGGCATAACACTGAAGCACTAAATTCAACATTTTAATTCAGTAACTCCTTTAAAATTTGAGACGAGACAACATTTTGTTACGCGAACATTCGCAGAATAAATGCAGCGGAAATGAAGCGAGTTAGCTCACTAAGCTAAAGACTTTAGCCTAAAGTCTTGAAAATAGGTCAATTATTTTTCCCAAAAGCTGCTAAAACGCGATGCATTAACTTAAGAATATTTATAAGTGATAAAAAGTCACAATAGTTTGTTGATTACTAAATTCAAATCTTACCGTTGTTGCTTGTCAACAATAATACTTGCGATTTTTCTACGATTTAAGAAGACGCCATACTGCCCTACACGAGCCTTCGCGCGCAACGACTTGTGGGAACTGAAGTCCTAAGTGACGCACTTAACGTTAAGGAAAATTCTAAAAGACTACATTATCCAGTTCAAAATAAAACTTTTGTCAGGACCCAAATTGATTAGCACATGAACACCTAAATGCCTGAACAAAACTAAATTAAATAATATTAAATTTTTTAAAAAGCCTATACAAAAACGTCAGTTCTTTTAGTTTGGACACAGGATGGCGACAAGTCAGCACTAGAGAGATTGTAATATTTTAATGTATGTATGTGTATATCTATCTATCTATCTATCTATCTATCTATCTATCTATCTATCTATATAAACATTATAAAATATAAATGTACATTACATACCGTACATTTATTTATTAATTTCTCAGTTTTCACTTCTGTATGATCTGTCGGTGTTACTTGATGACACAGCACACTTCTCTACACTGATGCAGATCAGCAGCCGCTATGATGATGAAATAGGTCCGCCTGTCCAGTAGCAATGAAAGGTACTATCAGTGGCAGCAGATTAAAATTCAACAAGCATTTTTTTTTTCCTTACCAGTGTTTTTTTCTTGTAATCTAAACCACCCATTGCTGTGTCTGTGTGCACAAACCCTTGTGTGCAGATAAAAGACATGTTAGAAGCTGTTCTGCTTGGGTCCGGATTGCCTCTAAGCTGATTCATATTCTGAACCTGCTTTTTCTTCCACCAGCAGATCAAAAGAGATTCACAGAGCTCGTCTGAAGGTGAGCTGGTTCAACAGAGAAAGATCAAAACCAGTGGTATAAAAAGTGTTTTTAAAAAGCACAAGAATAACTTAAAGGTACTGCAGAAGAAAAAAGTAGACTTGTAAGAATGTAAAAGTCACAGTTTATATTCTGTACTCTACACATTTATGTTTTAACGTCTAAAATACAAAAAATAAAGACAAGGATGACCAAAGAAAAGGTTTTTGTCAGGACACTGATAGTTTAACAGTAGTAGTGTAGGTTCATCCATCCATCCATCCATTATCTTTACCCACTTATTCCATTTTGGGTCACGGGGGTCGCCGGTGCCCATGTCCAGCAATCACTGTGCGAGGGGCGGGGTACACCCTGGACGGGTCGCAAGTCCATCACAGGGACACATAGAGACAAACGAGACAAACAACCATTCACTCTCTCACTCACACCTAGGGACAAATTAGAGTTACCAATCAGCCTAACATGCATGTTTTTGGTCTGTGGGAGGAAACCGGAGCACCCGGAGAAAACCCACGCATGCACAGAGAGAACATGCAAACTCCACCCAGAAAGGCCCCTGGACCTGGGTTTGAACCAAGGACCTGCTCGCTGAGAGGCAGCCGCTCTACCAGTTGTGCCACCGTGCTGCCCAGTGTAGGTTCAGTTACTCCTTAAGATTGTATCACAGCAAACATTAGTTAAACCACATTATAATTAAAGTTTTGTTTCAGTGAGCCAAAATAAAAGTACAATGAATATGTTTAATTAGACTTTTCATCACCTACTTGTCTCTGTTTGTGCTTGTATGCTGCGATTGGTTTTTTTTAACCTGACACAATATATTGAACACAAAAATGGCTTTATCTCAATAAAATGTATAGTTATGAGCTTTTAATGATGTTGTTGAATCTTTGGATGCTAAGGATTACTGTGCTGCACTTTACTTTAGACCTGTCCAAAGCCTTTGATACTGTAGATTATGCCATCTTATGCCATAAGCTCTCAGATATTGGTTTCTTAGATTACACTGTTGGCCAGTTCTCAAACTACGGTATCTCTCAGGTCGGAGGCAATGTGTTAGACATAACGGTACTTCATCTAGCTACCTAACAGTCACCAATGTGACACATGGCTCAGTTTTGGGTCCCACTCTTTTTGCAATTTATATAAATAATCTAAACATTCCTGACGCATTCTTTTATCTCTATGCTGATGACACTGTTGTTTATTGCCGAGCTAAAACAGTTGCTAAGGTTTTCCATCTTCTACAGTCTGCATTTGACATCATTCAGTCAGACTTTTTCAATCTCAAGCTGGTGCTAAATGCTGACAAAACCAAAGGGATGTTGTTTTCCAAAAGAAAGTTGGTGCCTGTAGTTCTTCCTCCTATCTCATCCATGCATTGTTTTTCTATTGCGTTTGTAGATTCTTACAAATACTTGGGAATTTTGGTCGATGCGCATCTCTTAAACCACATATTGTAAACTTGATAAAGAAACTGACATTTAAATTGGGTTTCTTTTTCAGAAATAGATCTTGTCTATGAATGCCAGAAAGCACCTAGTAACTGCTACCTTCCTATCAGCCACTGACTATGGTGACATTATTTACATGAATGCCCCTGCCAGCTCCTTGCAGATGTTGAGTGCTGTCTACCGTGGTTCAGAACTGGTTGTAACTACCGTACCCATCACTACACCCTGTAATCCTTGGTCAGTAGGTCATCATTATCTACACATAGGCTCTCACACTGGTTCTTCATCTATAAATCCCTCCTTGGTCTGCTACCTTTTTATCTCCTCCCACATCACGCTGTCAGTGCAGTTACAACATACACTCTCAGGACATCATTACCTGCAGCATTCCCTCAGTGCGCACCGAACTTGGCAAAAAGACCTTCTCCTACTCAACTCCTGCAACCTGGAACACCTTGCAACAGGAACTGAAGTTGTCCTCCTTGATTTCTTTATGGGGTTTCAAACACTTGATGATGTTAATAGAAAAATCAAAGCAAATGTGTTTTTGTTTGTAGTATTTCACCCTACTTTACGGCACCCCGATTTATTGTTTTGTACACTACTCTTATTTTAACTGCATTTTTACTGTAGTTCATTGTTGTCATTGTTTACTGTTTTATATGTGCTTTATATGTTCTGTCTGGAACAGGTCCCTCTTGTAAATGAGTCCCCGTGGCTCATTGAGGCTAGCCTGTATAAATAAAGCTTGAATGAATGAATGAGTATGTTAACTGCCCATGAACCATGTGTTTGAGTTAGCAGAGAGTTCTTTTCTTTCTCAGAGAGGGCTGAATGAGAGCTGATTTGATCCTGCATGTGAAGCTGGGCGGTCGAGGTCATCAGTGTCTGAGCTGTGAGAGCTAATAAGCTTATAAAAACAGTTCTCGCACACTGTCCGTGGCAGATTCTTGTGACTGGGCTCCATGCATGTAACTTCTGTACGTCTGTGACACCTGTTGTGAAAGTCTGCCCTTGCAAATAAAACCGGTTAAAAATCTTCCTGTGGCCTCGAGTGTGGCTCCTTTGAGCAAGTAAAATGAACAGAGGATATTTTGATCCAGCACCTTCCTCAGGGGTCACCACAGTGAGCTAACTTACAGGAAGACTTGGCAATTTTTTTATTTTTTTTTTGTGCACTGGATGCTCTTCCTGATGTTAAAAGACAATTTCTACATTTGATATTTTTGTAAAATGTGTTTTCCTTCAGTGAGAAATATTATTCACATGTGCAAAACATTGAAGAAACTTGATTTCCAAATTTTTCACAAGCCTTCAGTTTGTAAGTGGCCCCCGTCTGGAGGCTGAGCTGCTTATGTTGGTTAATGTTGTGTATCTTTTATGTTTTCTTCATCACTAACAGCCGGTCGTTGATTCGAGCAGGCTTTGTGTAAAAGCAGGAAATCAATATCCAAGGGTTTCAAAATGATGTTGTTTAGGGTTGACATGTCGCTGAAGTTCTTAATAAAATGGAGCTGACTCTACGGAGCAGCCTTGAAGCTCCTGTGATTGTGTTTGTGCTGGATTCAGGTGACTGGCTGACACAGGTTTGATCGGGGTTAACATGAGCACATCCCTCAGCCCTGAATCTGTGGCGCCTCAGCTGCCCCAGCTTTGGATTCCACCCCCCAACCAACCCTGCTCCTGATGCCAGGCGCAGCTCCCCTAATTAAACTGCTACAGGAGCGTTTGCTCTTGACATGCCCTCGGGGGCACCAATGGGGCACATATGCAAGGAGCGGAAAAGTGGGGGTGGAGGTTTGATATGTGGAAGGTGTGCGGAAGCGGAAAATTGGGGTTTCTGGCAGGAGGGTTGAAATGGGGAGGGGATTGAGACGGGATTCTTCCTTTCATCAGAGCAGCTTATTTACCTATGGTGACAGGATAAAGGTGGGGGGGTTGGGTTGGGGGTCTGTCATCCCAGCAGATCTGCATCTTTGAATCTGGCTCAGCTTGCTCCACCTGGAACTGGGAAAACTTTCAGAGGAATCTGCTTCATATACACTAACACACACTGACACACATCAAGACACTAATTCACTCGTACACAATCGCATGAATGCCTTCATCTACTAATACAGTCTACACACACACACACACACACACACACAGACTTATACTCAGTCTGCGCTGACATAATTGACCCAGTGACACATATTACACTTACACTGAGTGAGGATTTGATTTGACTTCAAGCATATTTTGTGCTGCTGAGGCTAAAGCAGCATAATTTAGTCAAATATATTAAAATGAGTACTGTATGTCCTAGAAACAACAGAAAGGCTGTGTTGAAGGAAAACTGTCTCACAAGAAATTAAAACTCAATGAACTAACTAAATAAGACTTCACTTTTAAAAGTCCTGCACAATCAGGGACAGTTACTTAACGTCTCTGAAAAGAGTTATTATCAGATAAAATATATTAGAAATTAACTGGGACATGACTTTGACTGCTTGTATTTGTGAAGGTTGATCCATTTCACATTTCATGAGGTTTTTTTGTGTGAAATTGATTTTTTTTTCTGTGATTATTGTTGGGCTGATGTGAAAGCAGTGAAGCACCTTTACTAACGTTCTGTTCAGTTTCTGTCACAGTTTCAGTTTTCATGCCCTGCAGCTTTAGGAAAAACATGAAATTATATATCAGAATGTGAGGAATAGTACTTTGTACAAGAAGTGATGGGATTTTGACTAAATGAGTAAGAAAGCTCAGCCCTCTTTGGAGCTCTTGGCTTTTAAAGTAAAAACATCGTAAAAATGTTTAAACGTGTCACAGAAAGTTA